GTGCCCAAATCGGCAATGCCACAATTGAGTTTCTTTTTCTAAGATGAATTCAACTTGCAAACACTTGAGATTTTTTGGTGTTGTAAAAGTTGTCAAATAGACATCCTATTTTCCCCCTCATAGTGGTGTGCATAATTAATCCTTTATCAAGGTGAAATACTTTGCAAGTGTCATTTTAAATTAAATTTGTTAACCCTTTTTCTTAGAGTTGTCTTAAGCTTAGTAGATTGGTCTTAAGCTCAGGAACAAAGTAAACGTCTGATATTACTTGAGTAACGTCATTCATTTGCACTCGAATACTTCATTTTGCTACTACAGTCATTATGGTATCATTTACAAGCTTTGCAGTTTTGCACAATCCTTCTTTCATATATGAAAATCACACCTTCTTTTCGGTCGTATGATTACTATAGCCGAAGTCTAGGAACCAAACCTCTTCTTGTATGGTATGATGTGCTTCTTCATATGCCACCAGTAGGATTTTTTCTTCTTCTTCCTCAAGTTCTAAATAATTGGCCTTCTCCCAGTCGGGGCACTCATACTGAAAGTGACCCATCTTGTGACACTTAAAGCATTCAATGAGTTCTTTGTTTAGGAATGTCGTTGTCGTCAAAAGAGGCGGTCGGAGCGACGCGATGATTTTGATTGACTAGCGTTTTTTAAAGAAGAAGATGTTTAACGCCTTTAGGTTGTCTGATAACCGGGTTGGACCTAAAGGCGAGGTTTTCGAACAGGTTCGATGGAGTCGCCACCAATGTTTTTACCGTAAACATCGAAAAAGGAAGAAAAAGGTGTTGGTTTTTTAGAAAACCAACTTTGACCATTATAACCAGAGTTGGGTAAGAGAGTTAGTTACGTGTGGAGAAAGTATTAGCACCCCACAATGCCCCTTTCGGGTTCCCTATGATGGACTAGTTTATAAAATAAAGACTAAGAAATCATGCTTTTACCCTATTTATTTTATTTACTTCCAGAATTTAAATGTTTACATGATCCTAGTATTTAATGCATACAAGGAAATTGATAAAGAAAGCGATAAAGGAGAGAGAATAGAAAATGAACCTCCGAAACAAGCTTTTATATTAACTCTTCAAGAAATGATGACGCTTTTTTGCTGTCCTCACACTCTACAAGTACGCTCCTCTCTCAAAATAAAATAAACTACCCTTCTACCGAGTGTTAGATGTCTCAAAAGGAGACCTCCTTAACCGATCTCTACTTTAAACGGAAATTAGAAGGCTCTCGAACTCTGGAAAGTGCTTAGAGTTATCCCAAAGTCTTAAGAGAGCTTCTAGGATGAGAGAAGGGATGAAAACTGTGTGAATCCTGTGTGAAATGAGGGGGAGCGAGGTCCTATTTATAGGTTTTTGTGCAAGTCAGGGCGAGACGGCCGTCTCGACCCTTGTCAGGCGAGACGGTTGTCTCCGGCTCTTGGCGAGATTTCTCTTATTTTCGTGTACAAAAGACTTTCCTATCCTACAATGAAGCCTAGTAAACATGCCTAGCGACCTAAAGAGACCTTATCCATCTTCGAACGGAGGTCTTCTGACTTTGTTTGAGAGGTCGGACAAGATTTGGGTTCTACAAGGAATCTCCTTCCTCTTCCTCTACCACGGGTACCATGTCCTTTACCTCTTCTACCCCTGAATGGTATATCATCATTGGTTATCGTTAATGCTTGTTCTTCTGGCTGAAATCCCTACATTCTTTACTCATAAACAAGGAGGCTGCCGTAGTTCATCAATACTCAAGGTACCCAAATAATTTTATTCGTCTATTGAGCACATAATATAATTGAATTTAGAGGTCAAAGATCTTAGTATCTTACTAACCGCTATGCTAGACTTTGCTCCATTGTTTCACCATTTGACTTCATCTTATTTACCACATGAAGGATCCTTCCCAAGTAACTACCTACCTTCGCGTCTTCTTTCATTGCCAGTAACTCAATTTCTCTTCTCAATGCTTGGAGTTGTGCATTTTCCACCTTCGTGGACCCTTGATATTTTTGCTGCATAGAACACCATATAGCCTTCAAAGTTCCTTTGTCAAGAATCGTTTCCAAAATCTCTCTATCAATAGCCTAAAATAGGAAGTTTGTGACCTTCAAATCTTTAAGCTTAGTCTCTTCCACACTCTTTTTTGCGCTTCAGTATTACAGTTCCAAGTATTGGTATTCCTTCCTTCTTCTAGGAGATGTCACATTTCTTTACTTTGTATAAAATTTTCCATCGTCGTTAACCAATGGTCATCAAACCTTAGAATGCTCGATTGTACAATCTTCTCAGACGTAAACATTTTGATTGTTTGTTTCTTCTCTTATTCACTTCACATGTACTTGGATCTCTAGATGTTTTTCTCTTTATGTTTCTCTCCTCACACTTACTTTATCAAACCCTTTGAGAAATTCTGATACCAATTATTAGAATTAAAAATAATTTTGACTCAAGAAAAGACTAAAAGGGTATGTTTTTATTATCATCAAACATATCCGCTTATATAAGCCTTTAGATAATAGAAAAGTCAAAAAAAAAAAAACCGTCCTGCATGACGATAAACCAGGAATAAAGAAATTGCTCCTAAAACCACGTACTGCACGACAACTAAATAGGAATAGAGAAATTATCCCTAAAACAGCATAATTTACAAAAGACTTGTTAACACGTTAAACAACAAACTTTGACTAACAACTAATGTTCTATTTAGAGAAAGTTATTTTTAATCGTCTAGAAGTCACAACTCAATATTTACCGATATCCTCAATTCAACTTTACATCATCTTGTTCACAAATCCAGTAAGAATATAATGTTTTTTTTTTCTCAAATCTTACTGTATCATGTTTAAAGTAAAAAAGAAAAAATGGTAGTTGAACTTAATATTAAATAAAATTACGAATAATTAAAAATTAAAAGACAAGAATTGCTTAAAAAAATTGTCAAGAACCAAAATATACGGATAACTAAATATTAAGAAAATAAAACAAGTAGAAACCAAAATCACAAATTTAAAAAAATATAGGAATGAACAAAATTACAATTAAGTATATAACTTTCATCAGGAAGATTGAATATCTGAAATATAAAATTTATTAGATGAGAGATAATTCGATCAACTCAACAATTATTACGTTAAAAGATAACAGTTTTCACAAAATCTAGTAAGATTTATTATATTTTCATTCAATTTACTGCAATATTAATTATAATCTATATTTGTTAGGTCAAAATAAGCTAGAAATGTCTTTTAATAACATGAATTTGTGAATGTAATACAGAGAATGAAAAAACAAGTTCCTTTCATAAAGTCACTTAGTAACCAGAAGAATCGGCAAAGAAGCTATGGGTCTTTGTTGGGTTCATCTTGTGCACGTGGATTTTAGAGAAATCTTTATTTAAGAAGAATCAAATAACAACTCCACAGGTTAATATAGTAATAATATTTATTGTTATAATTGATATTTATTCTCTAAGGGTTTGTTGGCTTGTTGTGCATGCTAATTGTCTTTTCATAGTTTTTTTAATACAAGTGTGGTGGGTTACAAAAACGTCATTATGTTGAATAATTTAATTACTATCCATAGTTCATTAGTGATCTTGTTACTAATTTACAACTTATTATGCATGAGATATACATATATAATGTGTTTATGATGATCTTTTGTGTAGCTCATAATTGATTGAATATTTGAGATTGTTATGGGTTTAGGGGATTAAAGTGTTTGTTAAGTTTGTCAATGAATCTTTCTTTTCACATGTATATTATTTCATATATTAATGACTCTTGTTTATGCAAACTCGTCAAGTTAGATTGTTAAGGGTTATAAAGCGAATATGTTGAAGGATAACAATTTTCTCAAATCGAATATGATTTATTATATTTTCATTCAATTTATTTATATATTATAATCTAACTTTTGTTAAGTAAGGTAGAAATATTTTTTAAACACTACAATAAATATTGAAATTACCGATGGACAAGAATCCATCATCCAAGTATCTTAAAGTTAGAGGTCGATACTTCAACCATTAAATTACTAGAATTTTTCGATAATAATTATATACAAATAATTAAATACTACAAATAAATTATATTTATATACAAATATATTTATATTTTTTGATATATTTATATATTTATATATAATTAAATATTTATTTTTTAAATTATTTAATTTAATAAATTATTATAAATTAATCTAATTATGATTAAATTAAATTATTAAATAAAAACATATTTAATTTTTAAATTAGGTGAATAATTAATTCATTAGAATATATTAAGTAATTATTATATAATTTTATCAATGGATTACTTATTATATAATTTTACTTGACGAATATATCCGTCGGTAAATAATTATTAATTTACCGATTAATATATTTATCGTAGTAATTAATTGTTAATTTACCGATCGGATATATCTGTAGGTAAGACCAAATTCTATATTCGATCGGTAATGATTCCTTTTTATGACTATAAATCCATCGATAAAAATTTATCGGAAATATGAAATTTTCTTGTCCTCAAAAAAAATTTGTGAATTTAATACATTGAATGGAAAAACTAACCATAAAAATTTCCTTTTATAAAGTCACATAAAAACCATAAGTGTCTGAAAAGAAGCTATGGGTCAGCAGCATGGTTGTTTTAATATAAATGTGATGGGTGGTTATAGGGTTGTGGTTTGGAGAGATATTAAAGTTAGAGTAATTCGTGAAAAGACCATACGATGCAACGAGGGCCCCCTTTCCCTCCTTTTTTTATTTTTTTCTTAACATATCCATCTAATTTCATGTCACGCAGGTAAATTTTTCTTTGCTATATATATATATATATATATATATATATATATATATATATATATATATATATATATATATATATATATATATATATATATCTTAGCCACCACTGGTTAAGCATATCAATCACTCCATTGCCTTGTAATTCTTCCCTCTCATTTTTCATTTTCCTTCTTCTTTTGAGCTCGTTAAAAGAAATGGCAAGTGTTGAAAAGATCCACAAGACACAAAGGGCAGAAGGTCCAGCTACAGTCTTGGCAATAGGAACAGCCACTCCTCCCAATTGTGTCGAACAAAGTACTTTTTCTGATTATTATTTTCGTGTCACAAAGAGTGAGCATAAAACAGAGCTCAAAGAAAAGTTTGATCGCATATGTAAGAAATATTATATATATATATATATATATATATATATATATATATATATATATTTTAATTTGTGTATTGATTAATATTATATACATAGTTTATATGTATAACACACATTAATATTTTGTAGGCAAAAACTCAAACATTAAGAAGCGATACATGGCTTTGACAGAAGAGATGCTGAAGGAGCATCCCAACATTGGTGAACACACAGCACCTTCATTGAATGCAAGGCAAGACTTGGTGCTGATGGAAGTTCCGAGGCTAGGAAAAGAGGCAGCAACCAAGGCCATCAAAGAATGGGGTCAACCCATGTCTGAAATAACTCACCTCATATTCTGCACATCAAGTGGTAATGACATGCCTGGTGCTGACTTTCAACTCACTAAACTCTTAGGGCTTAACCTTAACGTGAAGCGTTATATGATATATCAACAAGGATGTTATGCTGGTGGAACCGCCCTTCGTTTGGCCAAAGACTTGGCTGAAAATAACAAAGGTGCTCGTGTGTTAGTAGTTTGCTCAGAAAACATATCAATCGCTTTTCGTGGTCCAAGTGAAAATCATATTGATAACCTTGTGGGACAGTCACTCTTTGGAGATGGTGCTGCAGCTGCTATTGTTGGTTCAGACATAATACCAAATATTGAGAAACCTTTGTTTCAATTAGTGTGGACTTCACAAACCATAGTGCCAAATACTGAAGAGGCTGTGGCATTACACCTTCGTGAAGATGGTTTGTCATTTCATGTTCTCAAGGATGTTCCTCACCTTATTGCAAACAACCTCGATGATGTTTTAGTTGAGGCCCTTCAGTCCTTAAACATATCTGATTATAACTCCATGTTTTGGGTAGTGCATCCTGGTGGACGAGCCATTCTGGATCTAATTGAAGAAAAGTTGGGTTTGAAGCCAGAAAAACTGCGAGCCAGTAGACACATTCTCAGCGAGTATGGTAATACAGTGAGTGCTTGTTCGTTTTTCATAATGGATGAAATAAGGAAGAAGTCGAAAGCAACTAAACTTTCAACAACTGGAGAAGGTTTTGAGTGGGGTGTGCTCTTTGGTTTTGGGCCTGGACTCACTATTGAGACTGTTGTGCTTCGTAGTGTGTTGCTCTAAATTCAAATACTTTATTAAGACACAAGTTTCACATTTAATTTTCATAATTTATGTTTGCATGTAATTTTCTTTATTACTATGAATGAATCTTTGTGTGTTTTTCATTACCTAGTATTAATTATATTTAGTATTGATTTATCTAAAAAACTAATAAATAAATAATAAATAATTTAGTTATTTGTTACTATTATCTCACACAAAATAATAAATATTATACCTTTAACAATTAAATAATAAATAAATAAATTTAATATTTCTTAAAATTAATTAGATGTAAATAACTTTGTATGTAATGCAATGGAAACTATTTGAAAATGATTTTTTTTTCAACATAAAAATGTGTCGAGAAAATATTAGATATAGACAAACTATAGATAAAATCCATTGAAAAGCCTATGCATAGTTAGGAAAGACACTTGAATAGGGAACAAATACATTCAAATAAAAAAATATGAAATATAAACACCTATGCCTTTTGAATAGTTCGGATGGACTTGACTTTTATTGGTGTGCTCCTCTCTTGCAAGGATACAACACCTCCACTTGATGTTTTATGCTCACGCTTCAGGCAACGCTACTTGGACCCCTTTCATCCATTGACAAACAAAACAAACATTACCAATGTCTAACACGAATTGAACCCTAAATAAAATAAAGAATTCAAATACAAATAGAAAAAAATAGAGAAAAATAATACCTTACATGTTGCACAAACCACATACTAAGATTCGCTGATTTTGCCGATTAATGTTGATTTAGGTGGGTTAAGAGATGAGAAGGGAAGAGAGAACAAGGAAAGGCGAAAACAATGGTGGGAGAATATTTAGAGGTAAGGATAAGATTGGGAGACTTCTTCGACAGTGTTGTTCCTTCATGCTATCACTCTCTTACACTCATTTTCTTCGATTTGGGGATATATTAAGTGGATTTAGGATGAATTTTGAATGAATTTTGTGCTTCACTGAAGATTTGGACATATTAACAAACAAAATCAATACTAGAGAGGCAAAACGAGGACAAAGGGGGGAGATGGTGTTGTAGTTGAAAATAAGGCATGACTAGGAAGGAGACCTAATAAGCTCATTTAATACTCAAACCAAATTACTAATGGATAAATAAAATTATACCGACAGACTAATTTACCGACAGACATATTCATCAGTAATTTAAACCACAATAATTTTCATGTCAACCTATGAACATTTCCAACAGTTAAGTACCGTCAACAGTTAATTGTTAAATTATTGATGGATATATCCGTCGGTAATCTTCATCGGTAATCACTCATTTGTCAATGACTTTAAATTTGTCGATAATTAATCATTTTTTTTAGTGTACCTAAAACATATATAAATATATCAATACAATTTTTGTTTTTTGTGAATACAATGAGAAGTTCATGACAAAAAAAAAATTTAACCAAATTTATGACGAAACTTAAACCCTCATAACACTGTTTTGTGAATAGATATGTGACAAACACTAAAGTTGTTACAAAATTTGGTGACACAAATTTTTGTTACTAGTTTTTTATTACTATCACAAATAGTGACAAAGCTAATAGTATCACAAAATTTTGGTGACTAGTATTTTATCACAAATAGTTTTTTATTAAGTGAGAAATATATCACTTTAAAGTGATACTCATTAAAACATAAAGAAAAATATTTAAGATAACGTTACTTATTTTTAATTATGTTTGTTTCAATGAGACTTGCTTAAGCGAATATCATATCGCTTTAGTGACTTCTGCTTTGAGCAAATGGTTCTATGCTCAAGTGACACTTGGTTTATGTTACTTTTTTTAAGTTTTAATGGAACACTCTCTAAGTGAAAATATGAGTGACTTAAGTGAGATGTGCTTATGCTAATATTTTAAATTTTATGCAATGACAAGGAAGAATAGAATGTATTTTATATTTTAAATTTTAATTGCAAATAAAATATAATAGTTCAAGTTCAAACAAAGTAATAAACATATGACAAATATTTATTTTCAAAGTATTTTATCTGAAAACATAAAAATAAAAATAAACAAATATTTCAAATAAACACAAATAACATATAATCAATCAATGATTGTTGTCATCTATTTCATCTTGATATTGGATTGTGTATGAGGTTAGACGTTTAAGCGTGAGTCACTTAATTATGGGTTAGTGATAACTTAAGTAACTCTTGTTTAAGTGAACATATTTGGACACTTAAGAGATATCTATTTAAATTTAGTACTGGAAGTTTTAAGTGAGAACTAAATTGTAAGATTTCACTCTAACCCTCCTCTACAAATTAAAACATGAAAAGTAATGCTAGAACAAATCCAATATCAATATAAATTTCTTTCTTTAGAACATCTCAAAACAAATGGAAGAATCATACATCAATTTAATTTTCTTTTGTTTTTTTCTTTTGTGGGCACACATTCTATCCTTCTTTTACACATAGTGAGCAATTAAAAAAAAAAAATAAACACGGTCGCTTAAGCAAGAGATACATCTCGGTTAAGCGAATCACACACTCACTTATGTGATTAATGGCTCAAATTTAAGTGGGTATAGACATAGACTGTACTCACACGTAAGCTATAATGCAATTGTTTTAAAATATTATTTTTAGTGCATATACTATTCCTGAGAACTTCACTTAATTAACCTATAACTCATGCTTAAGCAATTATGACTAAGCAAAATTTTAAAAATTCACTCAATCTACTTTTAAGTAAGGTGAATCTTTCGCTTAAGTAACCAAATCAAACCATTAGATCAATTAGTGTCAAGTCACATGACATGTTTCCCAATCATATGCTCTTAAGCACAACTTAATAGTTGTTTAAGAAAAAATGTTGGATGTACTTATCGTTGAAGTCTAGTAAAAGTTATGCTTAAACGACCATGTATTTATTGAATTGTAAAAAAAATTACAATTTCAGTTTTTGATTATAAAAACCCCACCAATTTTTACCACTTCCATCTCCTTGAAACTTATTTTCCAACTCTTATCTCCTGTCTTTTCTTCTCTTACTTACATTAAAATTTGTTTTAGTGTTTCCTTTTCCATTCACAATATCAAGTAAGTTGATATGATTTATTTGCTTTTATAATAGTTGTTTTGTCTGAGTAAATCTTATTTTTTTTTCATAACATATCCCATTAAAAAAAGTGATATAATTATTTATTTGACTTAAATAATTATCTAATTAGGTTAAATAATAAAATAAAAATATTTTTTATAAAAGATAAATTAAGTTAAATTGTTCGACAAAAATAAATATAAAAAGATAAAATTTAGCAAGTGGGGGAAGAGTTTATTTTTCTGGGAAAGGCAGGATAGGAAGAGTTTAGAAAGTGATTCTTATATTAATAAGTTACATCTCAAAATGTTGTGTACCATTATTCGAGATAGGAGATGAAATGAAAAATGTCTCGTATATAAATGCTGATAAAAATTAAGGGTAGAGTGGCAACCTATAAATCTTAATAGGATTTTGTTTTGTGCAATTTTTGTGATAATAAGGTTTTGAACTTAATTATAACAAATCATAAATTAATTATTGATTTGTATTACTTTTAGGATCCTATTTATGCAAATTGATTCAGGTTTTAAAAAAACCGCTTAACCCTCAATGAAAAATTGAAAACATCTTAAGTTAAATTTAAATTTCATAAATTATAATTTAATTATTTTTTTGTATTATTTTAGGATCTTGCGATCTTATTTAACGTTTAAAGATTACAAACACATTTAGGGATGATTTTCTTCATAATTGAAAAATATGATTTTCAACAAAGTTGTAGCCATTCGGCTAACTAATGATATTGGTTTCATGCAAAAATATTATGTATAACTAGAGATATGATATTTTTAGAAATTTAAAGTCATGTTGTCAGGACTAGAATAAAAATTTGCATTTTTCCTTATTTTAGGCCTATTAAATTACTAAACTGTATTTTGAGATTAACATATAAGTAGTAGATAATTATATTAGCTTTAAAAGAAGATAAAACTCAATATCATATAATTGGTTAATTAAAAGTATAGCTTTGGTACCAAATCGAGGTCATAAAAGTGTTAGAATTAATTTAATTAATTCATTCCATTATGTGACTCATGTGAAATATAATAATGGGCCCAAATGTGATTTAATAAATTATAAGGACCTATTGGTTATTATGTGAAGTTAGAATAAAATAAAGATAAAATAAAAATATTAATTTACGGTAACCAACTTGATGGACGTTGGTTAATTGAATGGAATAAGGGTTTTGTCTCTGGTCATAAAGTTTTTCACGGTAAACGATCAAGAAAGCGTGAGAAGAGAAAGAAAGACAAAGAGATAAATTGGGAAAAGGAGATTGGAGAACGAGAAGATTAAAGAATATATTTTCATAAATCTAGTTCTCTTATTATGATTCATGTATGTTATGTTGTGAAAATCAATAATCTAAAGATTCTGTAGAGTAGTTTCTATAATGAATTAAGAACGTAGGATAACTACAGAAAACTTTACATGTGGTATCAGAGCCAGGTTATTAGATATATGATTTTCCTTTTATGAAAGTTTTTCCTAATTTATGTTTTTCCCAAATTAAGATAAACCCTAAAGGTTTTTTCTAAATTATGTTTTTCCCAAATTAAGATAAACCCTAATTATGAATTTAGAGATTTCTCTATCAGATTAGTATGAAGCCTAATTTATTCCCAAATTTATTTTTCTCAAAAATTAAATAAAGGAATAAACCTAATTATGCTTTCAAGTTCAAATTGAAACCAATTTTATAGCCCCTATGCGTGAATGAACCCATAATTGATTTTAATTGAAAAGACAAATGACGTGATAGGGTTAGGGTGAATCATGTATGAAATTAGTTTTATTGTATATTATAATTATGATGAGATGTTATGATGAAATGTTATAATTATGATGGAAGAATGGTAAACTGTAAAGTTGATAAACTTTGCGCGTAGAGAGCACGTGTTAAACACAGGTTTCATATATTATA